TGCGTGCCTCGACATATCCAACGCGAGTAGAAGGCTCCTTGTTTCCAAGCCATCTCTTGAACGCTGCTTTCTTCTCTTTAACTGCCAGTTGTACCTCTTGTGTCCAGCATGAATATCTTTGCTGACCTCCAGGCGGCAGGCCAACCCGTTTATATCCGCAGCATTCGGCGGCAGCCACGAGTATGCCGCTCTTAAATAGCTGCCACTCGGTTTCAATATCAGATGTCATCATTATGACGTGTACAAACCGTCGTGCGTTGTTCCTCGCAAATTTCGCCCTCGTGTCCACCGTAAATAATGTTTCCGTTTCATTCTCCGGTAGCTTCTGCCACCAGATCTTTGTATGGTACTCCATTTCTTACAGCGCAGCGTGCAACTAAACCTACTCTCAACTCGTAGTGACTGGGTGGTTCGTATCATCTAGTCATCGACCGAATACTTTTGCGGATATGCTCATAGATTGTTACGGAGAATCCTATTGGGAGGTTAGAGCCTCCAGGTCTACAAAGCATATATAAAATGGATAAGGGAATCCCCATGATTCCTTAACAATCTGGTCAGAGGTGCTTCAGCTTAAGCAAATGTCCCACTGGAACAGGCGTTTCACAACACCGCCTTTCTGGCGTCTTGGTGTAGATTTTCTCCAGGGCATCATTAAAGTAATGCCGATAATTTGAGCACTCCTATGATTTCCCTTCTTGAACAAGGAAACTACTCTCCCTGTTCACCAGTCCATTTGTTTTTTCCTCGTCGAAATAGCAACTTTACAGAAACGTGTTAAGCAGAACATGCTTTGCTCGCCTACAGCTTTAAGCATATCATAGCGAATTGAATCGAATCAAACAGCCTGTGGCACTTTTCAAGCCTTTTACAGTTTTCGCAATTCAATTTACTGAAAAACTGGGTCCGTGTCCTTATTCTTTGAGGCGAATCTCTCTGCACTTGCTTGAGAAAAATTTTCTTCAAGGTATTCGATTTATCTTCTCTCGAGTGCCTCCTCTTCTTCAATAATAAAGCATCTGGACTTGTCCTTCAAAACTCTAAATCTGTTTTTTTCATCTCAGAGGCGACAGATGGCCTATCATAATACTTTGCGTGTCCTCTGGAAATTGGACTACCGCACCTCACGGAACTTTCCCGATGAATGAACCTCCGCTTTAGCCATGGTTTCAGTTGCCGCCTTGCGCGCTGTTTGGTTTCGCATTCGAATCAAAGGCTTCATTTCTGACTACTATGTGATAGTCTATCGCGCAGTAAACGCAGCAGTCCAGAGTAAGCCCTGTCTGAGAGTTTCTACTCGGTTTCCACATCAGCCGTCATGACTGTTATTTGTTCAAACTGTTGGGAGATGTCGCTTGCTAGTTTCGCCCCTCTTAAACAGGGTGCCGTAAGTCAGGCGATGCGGTTATCAAATCGATCATTGCCTTTTGTGCACAGTCGCCTCTACACCAGGTATACTGATGCACATTTCGATGCTCGAAGAACATGTTCATAGCAGACAGCCTGGGCTTTGCACAAAGGCGCAACAACTACATGCAGTTATCATCAAGATCGCAAGAACCGTTCTTCCCAATAGCGTCTTTATACTTTTCAGTGTCAGTACTACGTGTACGTGGAAGTAGCCCATCAGAATAATGAATCCTGTTGGGATTCTGATACGCAGATACTGAAAAAGGGAGCGATTTAGAAGTAGTAGTGGCAAAATCTGAAATAAGTAACAGGATTAACGGCCCAAAACTATTTTGAGACAAAATTCCCCTGAATCGGTCGTCATTTGAGGTTTGAAGAGTCGTCAAACAAATACTAAGAACCATTTCAATCTGCAGCTGAAATAGCGGGCAGTGTGATATAACATATTTTTGAATTAACATGCATTTTTAATGTATTTAAAAGTTTTGTAGTTTAGCTTCTGTTAAAGTAATTGTTTTTCTAAAGATAAAAATACGAATTGATAAACTCAATTTAAAGTAAGGACTTGATTAGTAAAAAAACTGAGGTATCAAGACCAATTATAAAGTATAAGTTTTTCAGTCTTGATTAACAGTCATTTTGTAACATTTTTTGAATCCACTGGGCATCTTCACTCCTTGGATCTGTCGATCAGAAAGCGGAAAGAAGGCATTTAAAATGAACTCAATACGGTTTGAATGAACGTCCTTACACGTAGACAATGAACAAATTATTAGAGAAAAAAATGGACTTATCTTTCTGGTAAAAAAAGAAAGAAAATTAGAATAACCAGTAGCTTATGTCTGAAAATGATCAGTTCGATTCACGTTAAAAGACAAAGAGAGGCTTTAACGATAATATATTCAGAAAAAGATGGTTAAAAGCCTAGTTGAACCTTACGGAACGCACAAAGGTGTTACTTTTTAGCACAAAGTGCAAGATTATATCACTTTAGCTTGTTGAAATCTAAAATTAAGTAGCTTTTGCGACCATTCAATTTACGATGATTTCAGTCCATTTTCAGCCACATTAATCGATAGTCATGAAGTTTGTTACCTTTGCCGTGAAATTAATGCTT